AAACTCTTATTTTTTTTAATATTGGGAGGATTTAATTTTAGGTTTTATATTTAAAGATTTAAAACAGTAGCTTTCACATGAGAGAACTGAGGTGTTCTTCCTCTTCTCTCTTACAATACATACATGAAGGCTAGACATGGGCCCACAACTATAGCTGACAATAGTGTGACTAATTATTTTGTTAACAGCTACATCAGAGCCTATTAACATTGCTCTGTGATGAAGGCTTGCTACCAAGAGATGCAGCTAGACTTCTGTCACTTCAAACAGGTGTGCTATCTCCTTAGTATGACCTGCCAGGGTAAGGCCGTAGAAAATAAAAGCTGCCAAGACATATCTGGGTGTTTTGTTTAGCAAATTTTTGCAAGCCACAGGTGAAGCCATTAAAAATATTCATAGTTTTAGATAATTTTTAGTTTGATATTGCACCACCTTCACTTTAAATCAACCCTCAGCATTCACCAAGAGACAAGTTAAGATGCACATACTTTCATTTCTAGGTGTGCTTCATTAAATAAACTCCACAAAACCACAGCTAAAATTTAATATTAAAGTTAATTTGCAGAGTATGCTAAATTTTTTTTATTTTTTTTTTAATTCTACCTGCCAATCCTTTGTGTGATCATTCAGCGAAGGTTATTAAAATACCTCATAGATTACAACTGCTTCCTAGTCTTTCCAAAGTACATGTTGTCATAGTTCATATATGGAGACTTGTATTCCTGAAGATTGCCAGAATCTAAGCTAATAATAAAAGCCTTTCTTTTTCAATTTTCTGGTAGACCTGTGCCCTAAACTATCTGAGAGGAATATGATACAATTACCTTCTCTTTTTTCTTTTTTTTTCTTTTCTTTTTTTCTTCTTTCTTTTTTTTTTACTTTTTCTGTTTTTTTTTCTTTTTTGATAAAGTACATTTCTGTTCTGTCCAAAGCTCCATTTTGCAGATTAAGTTTTTTGTCAACAGGTCACAGGTATTTTTCTTGTTGAACATCAAACACATAATCATCCCCATAAAACTACCTAGCCTGACTGAAAGTTTTCATATGTAGTGTTTTGCACATATACTTCAATCCAGCCATAGTGAAATGCATGTGTAAAATGTGCCAAGGAAATGTGGGGATAAACCACTAAATACATTCTCTCAGCGACTAATAGAGTCAAAGGTGAATAATTTCATGTCTAAGTAAGTTAAGGACATATTTACATCAAGCATTCTGCACAGCAGAAGCTGTCCTCTTCAGGTAAGAGCAAAGGACATGACTTGCCGCAAGGAATTTGAACGTATTCCATTGCTGTAGGAAATTACTGGAAGTGAGGATGCTTCTTCTGTTAAAAGTAGCAACAAGAAAACCTTACAAACTTCCAGAGCAGTAACCAAGAAATCTTAAATTTGTGACAGGCCGGCTTCTTATATCACAGAAGAGTTTACTATTGGGATTCTGTAAACTATTTTATTAGATAATGAAGTTGAAACTAATTAATACATTTAACAGAAATAGTAGGGCGTGATAAAAAGCTCTGCAGGCCTCAAGTAGAAAGGATTTTTAAGATATTTTACAAAGAATAAGGAAACTTGTCTGCTTAGTGAAGCTGACTTACCTGTAATAAAGTAAGAGTCCAGCTCAGAGCCACAAAGATGATTAAAGGAGTGGAACATCTCCCTTATGAGGAGAGGCTGAGGGAGCTGGGTCTCTTTGGAGAAGAGGAGACTGAAGGATGACCTCATCCATGTTTACAAATGCATTAAGAGTGAGTGTCAGGAGGATGGTGCCAGGCTTTTTTCAGTGATGTCCAGTGATAGGACAAGGGGCAATGGGTGCAAACTGGAACACAGGAGGTTCCACATAAACACCAGAAAAACCTTCTTTCCTGTGAGAGTGACAGAACCCTGGAACAGGCTGCCCAGAGAGGTTGTGGAGTCTCCTTCTCTGGGGACATTCAAAACCTGCCTGGACACGTTCCTGTGTGATTTGTTCTGGGTGACCCTGCTCTGGCAGGGGAGTGGACTAGATGATCTTTCGAGGTCCCTTCCAACCCCTAAGATTCTGTGGTTCTGTGATTCTGTGATTTGCTCTGAATACACGGAATTTCCCTCTGTTTAGGTGCTCTTCCAAAGTAAGTACTGTTTTCAATTATTCTGGAATAAGTCTCCACTTGCTATGCATTACTGTCCACCTGCAGAGCCAGTATTTATCATTTTACTCTCTATATATTCATTAAATGGCTTGGACCCATGGCGTTATCGTAGCAAACCGCTGTCTTCATTTCAGCCTGGTGAAGTTCCAAAAACACTGGTATAGTAAGGACATGGCTGCAGGAAGCAGATTTATAAAGGCATTTATGTACAGAAAGGGAAAGCTTTTTTATGAACTTTAGATGATTGATCTTCCCTGATAATGACCTGATGCTTCAGGAGAGAACACTTTTCTGTTCTTCTCTGCATCTTGCAACAATTAAATGTATTTACAAATATGCCTCCGTGTTCCCACTGTAGCTATATATTATCCCTTTGGCATCCTCATACTGCACAAAAATTGAACTAGACACATCCAACTGTATAAAACCATGTCAGACAAGACTGGCAGTATTCTGAGCTGCTGAAAGGCCTTATTTAAAAAGAGCATAAGACATCTTAATTGTACACAAAGCCTACTATCTTCAGCATAGTATCCTATTGCTTTCTATTTTTTAATGTTGTCACCATTTGACTTGGGTTCAACAACAATGCTCTCGATTCCCTCCCCCTCCCACCCAAATGTGGAAGGAGAGAGAGAAAAAGAGAGAGACTTGACTGGATTGAAAACTAAACTACACAGCTTTAATTAAACACTAATGACAAAAGAAAATATATACAATTACATGCAAATATGTTCTCAGATATGTGCAGAAGCCTCCCACCATCCCCAGCAACTCCCACAGCATCTACTGAGCTGCAAACAGTCCTGAAAAACCCTGGAGCTGCTGCTGGAGAAAGCACAGAGTGATGAGGGTCAGGAGAGCTTAAGCCTGGGGGTTAATGGTTGGATAGACGGAGTCCTCTCCGGGCACTGGCCATGGAGGGAAGAGAAGGGAAGAAGAAGCAGGAAGGAAGTTGTCTCCTGTGATCTCTGATCTTCCTCTGAGCTTACGTGGATATATGGAATGGAGTATCGCTGGCAGTTTTGCTGTCTCTCTAACTCAGTCTCCTATGGGGGTTGTCATGTAACTCTCCATAGTGCCTGAGCTGGCAGAGTAAATATGTGACCTTGAAGACCCAGCAGTTAGAAAAACATTCCACCATTTGTTATCATTCTTAGCTGGAACACTCTGCTACTAGTTAAAAGAAAGCTTACTGAAGGAAAAAAAAAAAAAATCAGGAGAAGGAAAACTGGCTTCATCCTGGCTCAAACCAGGACAACTGTATAATGGAACAGTAAAATACATGTGGATTTTATGTTAATACCTTGGAGTTGTAATAGCATAGTAGAAAGTGATCTGGCAATTCATTAGGACCAGGCATCTCTTACTAGCTGTTAACCATATGGTTTAGCACCCCAAGAGCAGCAGCATTATTCTAATGTCTTTATATATTTCCTTGTTTTCTACAGCTGTCTTTTTTTTTGTGATTTCCAGACTGAAATCCCATTGGTTTTTTTCCTCCTTTCATCTCCTATTCAAGAGTCTGAAGTATAGGCATTTCTGGATGCTGAGAAAGCTTGTTCTCCAGCTCTTATTGTTTAGTTAGCAGCAGTTCTGTTCTGTTGGGTTTTGGCAGTATGTGTGCAGGGACAGCTAGGTGGTTTGAGTCGACTTGTGTCATTAAATTGTTTTTAATGGATGATGACAAGTTCAAATGACAATAAATAATTGTAAAGGATCAAAGCTTCTAAATGTTTTTGCGATGTTTAATTTAGTCTTTGCTGGAATGCTGCTTAGAGTTTATTCCTTTTCCTAGCTCTGTGTATTCCTAGCCTTTTTTCCTCTCTTTCTCATGCACTCTCCTCTTTCTCGCTCCTTCCCCTCTCTCTTCTGTCTCTCAAGACTCATGCAACTTCAGCCTAAGAATACAGTGAAATAGTAAATACAAAACAAAAGACAAAACAGGCTAAGGAGTCAGCAACATTTTTTTCTGTTTCTTTGTTTTTGTTTGTTGGGTTTTTTTTGCTTTATGAAAGACTGTCCTCTAGGCTGGGCAACCTAGTAGTCTTTGTTTTTCTTCTAGTGGGAATCTGTACTGCACACCCTTTACCAGAATTTCCCGATTGACTGAGTTGCGGTAAAATATATCTTGACAGGTAGATAAACAGAAAACCACTTTTAAGTTCAGCAAAGCTGAAGTAGCTTCACAATTCTAGACTGACTCAGCCAGAAAGAAAGAAAGAGATACGGTACCTGCAGTTATCCTGCAGAAGAGACTAATGCTGAGGGTGGTGTTCCATAGATAAGTCTGAGCTAATAATCAATGTTGGCTGGCGCCAAAAGCCTATGTAGTCCTGCTTCCTTCCTGCTGTTCGAACTGCACAGTTCTGCCCTCTCTGTTGTACTGTCTGTTGTGTCCCATCAGACTCCCCTGCAAACTAGTTCATGTCACCAAGCTAGCAGGAAGTCCAAACTTTTTGCAAGACCTTACATGAAGTGGGGTAACCCTTCCTGCCTCAGGAAACTGTTGGACTGGCTTACCTTGTAAAGGTATCAGAAGCTGTAGCCTTAGTTTAAACATAGTCTTTTTGCAAATGGATGTGCGTGATGAAAACAGTAATTTCCTTTAAGGAAGGAGAAAGGGATTTGCTGGCAATATTCTGTTTCTCTCAGACATTTCTATTATACTGATTAATGGTGATAGAGAGGTTTATCTGCATTTATGACTCTTGTCTCAGAAGGCCAGTGGCAGTTAGGCAGAGTTACAGGAAAACAAGTTGCAGGAGGTCACTGAAAATTACTCAGTAATAATTGCTTTTGGTTTATTTTTGTTTTTGTTTTCAGTGAAGGGAGCAATCTTACCCCTGCTCATCATTACCCTGACTTCAGATTTAAGACGTATGCACCTTTTGCCTTCCGCTATTTCAGAGAACTTTTTGGTATCAAGCCTGACGATTACTTGGTAAGAGCCTGCAGTTTTCCTTTGAGTAGCAAATGGTTATAATGTATGCTAGTTTCATAGTGACAGAAGAGGCTGCTTTAGTGGTCCCAAACAGGTAGTGAATTTTGTGTGTGGGGTGGTATATAACTAGTGAATATTTATAGTGTTTTAAAAAAATTTTAGTTCTTCATCTTTGAGACAATTCCTGTAAAAACCTGCCTTGTTAACTGCCTAGCGTAACATGAGTGTTACTTCTCATTCAGGTCCTTGTTTCTAGAGAAGTTACAATTAGTACTTGCATGAATTCTACCAACTGAATTCTAGTAAAGTGCTAATTTTATTTGCATTATTTATTTACTTCTTTAATGAAGTGTTTGTCTGCAGATGTTCCCATCTAGCCTTGAGAAAAGTGGGTGGCCAGCTGAAAGAGAAGCATTTTAGAATATCTCCTTTGTTCTCTGTATTTTATGTTTTGAAGACTCCTTCTGAGTATTCAACTGCTTATGTGAGAAAACAGTCATGCATTTGCTGCCATCATAAAATCATTACGGTTGAAAAGGATCTTAAAGATCATCAATTCCAACCCCCCTTCCATGAGCAGGGACCTCTGCCACTAGATCAGGTTGCACAAAACCTTGTCCAACCTGGTCTTAAAAACCTCCAGGGATGGGGCATCAACAAACTCCCCGGGCAACCCATTCCAGTTCCTCACCACCCTTATAGTGAAGAATTTCTTCCTAATATCTAACCTAAATCTCCCCTCTCTCAGTTTAAAAACCATTACCCCTTGTCATATCAGTGTCTTCTCTGATGAAAAGCCCCTCCCCAGCTTTTCCTATAGCCCCTTTCAAGTACTGGAAGGCTGCTATAAGGTCTCCTCAGACCCTTCTCTTCTCTAAGCTGAACAGCCCCAACTCTCTCACATAGCAGAGGTGCTATAGCCTGTCCACATAGCAGAGGTGCTCCAGGCCTTTGATCATCTTGGTGGCCCATCTCTGTACCCTCTCCAACAGGTCTATATTATTCTTGTGCTGAGGGCACCAGAGCTGTACACAGTATTCCAGGTGGGGTCTCACCAGAGCAGAGTAGAGGGGCAGAATTACCTTCCTGGCCCTACTGGCCACATTTCTTTTGATGCAGCCCAGGATGTGTTTGGCTCTCTGGGCTCCAGCACACGCTGGCAGTTCATGTCAAGCTTCTCATCAACTACCACCCCCCAAGTCCTTCTCCTCAGGACTGCTCTCCAGCCATTCTCCCCCCAGCCTGTATTTGTGTCTGGGGTTGTGCCAACCCAGGTGCATGACCTTGTACGTGGCCTTGTTGGACTTAATGAGGTTGGCACTGGCCCACCTCTCCAGCCTGTCAAGGTCCCTCTGGATGGCATCCCTTCCCTCTTGGGTGTCAACCACACCACACAGCTTGGTATCATCAGCAAACTTGCTGAGGAGACACTCAATCCCACTGTCCATGTCTCCAACAAAGATGCTGAACAGCCCTGGTCCCAGTACTGACCCCTGAGGGACACCACTCATCACCTGCCTCCATTTGGACATTGAGCCATTGACCGCAACTCTCTGGGTGTGGCCATCCAGCCAATCTCTTATCCACCAAGTGGTCCATCTGTCAAATCCATTTCTTGTCAGTTTGGAGACCAGGATGTCACATGGGACAGTGTCAAACACCTTGCACAAATCCAGGTAGATGATACCAGTTGCTCTGCCACCATCCACTGTCCCTGTAGCCTTGTTGCAAAAGGCCACCAGATTGGTCAGGCATGACTTGCCCTTAGTGAAGCCATGTTGGCTGTCACCAATCACCTCTTTATTTTCCATGTGCCCTAGCAGACTTTCCAGGTGGATCTGCTTCATTATCTTGCTGGGCACAGAGGTGAGACTGACTGGCCTGCAGTTCCCTGGGTCTTCCTTTTTCCCCTTTTTAAAAATAGGAGCTATGTTCCCTTTTTTCCAATTAGCAGGAACCTCACCAGACTGCCATGACCTCTCAAATATGATGGACAGAGGCTTAGCAACTGCATTTGCCAGCTCCCTCAGGACCCATGGGTGAATCCCATCAGGTCCTATAGATTTATGCACCTTCAGCTTGTTTAGATGCTCACGAACCTGCTCTACTCCTACAGTGGAGGGTAATTCACTCTCCCAGTCCCTGCTTATCTGTTTTGGTCTTTGTGTTGAGGCTGAAGCACTTGCCAGAGAAGACTGAGGCAAAGAAGTCATTGAGGACCTCAGGCTTCTCAATATCCTGTGTTTCCTTCAGGAGAGGGCCTACATTGTCCTTGGTTGTCCTTTTCTTCCCAACATACCTATAGAAGCTTTTCTGTTTGTTCTTAACATCCCTGCTGAGATTTAATTCTAGCAGGGATTTGGCTCTCCTAACCTGTTGCCTAGCTGCTCAGACAACCTCTCTGTAGTCATCCCAGGATACCTGCCCTGGCTTCCACCCCCTGTATGCTTTCCTCTTCAGTTTGAGCTTTTCTAGGAGCTGCATAAAAGTATACTTCACTTAGTAGAACCACTTTGTGCACTGCAGGGACAAGAAGCCAGTATTTTAGTTCTGTAGTTTTGCTTTTGGGAGGGTAGAGTGAAAGCAGAAAGCTGGATTGCTTTCTAAATGTTTGCTTCATGTCTAGTTGCAGTGACAAACCTCAAAGGTTTACAGTTTCACATTTTCCAAGGAGGTTGAGCAGTAACGCGCTGTGGGAGTCAGACTGGATGACAAGGGTAAATGCATTTGAACAGCTGGTAGAATTAAATTTTAACTGGCAACCTCATGGAATACTGGCGGTTTGCTGGGAAACTTCTTTATCATAAAGTACATAATTGCCACAGGATTGGGGGTTTTCTTACTTTTCAGTTTTGATTTTATTTTCATAACCATCCCGTCAAAATCAGCTGTGTTGTGTAGCAACAGTTGGTGAACAGACTTTTATTTTACAGAAATGAACTTAACTGTAAAATGACCAACAAACTGTGTAGGTTAATAACTCGTGCTCATGCTATGCTGTTTTATTGAGCTTTAATGTTCAGGATAATTGCTCTCAAATGCTTACAACAATGACAATTACTCATGAAGCTTTACGTGTTTTGGCAAGAAAAATGCAGGCAGTACAACTTGATTTGCTCTGGAGGTCTGTAGTGTTAAGGCTCAGCATTGCTGTTCTGTCTGAGGACAATTGCAACTATAGCACTAATAAGAAATGTCTCATATTAATTGGAACTGAGTGAACTGAAGAAGCAGGAAGAAAAACAGTGAACATTTTTATAGCATGCAAAAGTTTCTTAAAAATTACAAGCATGAGAAAAGCCTCAGCTGGAGTCAGGAAAAGAAGATGCATTAAGTCAGTGGTTAGAGTCCATAGGAAGCATGCTTCTGTAATTCAAGTGCTCACAAAAAAGAATATATTTACTGGATTTTGTTGTATCAGTTTTCTGTGCTATCACCACCACTGAAATGTATAGCAATACTCTAGTTAAAATTAATTAAAGCTGTTTTCAACAAACCTGTTTTTTATGTGGAAATTCTCAACTCATGTCAGGCAGTGACCCAGTAAACCAGATATTTGTAACTGAAACAGTTATTCCTTTTGTTCTGAGGAGACAAGAAGTCAAACTGCCCTGCAAAGAGTAATTCCCTGGTGCTTACACTACTCACAATTCATATTGTGTGTAGTTTTGTTTCTTTCAAAGACTGAAGCCTTAAAATACTGGACTGTACAGTATATCTCCAAGTGTGTAAGACTGATTATATGTAACAAAGGAAAGA